AAACATTTATAAGAGAATGTACCTTGGTGTATGCTTTTCGCGGATAATATCCTTCTTGTGGATAAAACTAGAGAAAGTGTTCAGGAAAAACTCGAATTATGGAGGTCTGCATTGGAGTCTAAAGGTCGTCGTTTGAATAAATCTAAAATTGAATATATGAATGTAATTTTAGTAATAATAGCACTAGTGACAGAGTTGTAATAATGGGTGATCAAATCATTAAAATGTGTGAACAGTTTAGATATCTAGAGTCTACTATTCAAATTGATGGTGATATATATAAGGATGTTATTAGTAGAATTCAAGTTGATTGATTGAAATGAAGGAATGCATCAGACCTTTTGTGTGATGGAAAAGTACTGCTTAGACTAAAAGAAAATTTTCATAAGATGGTGGTGAGACCTGTAATGCTTTATGGCGCAGAAAGTTGGCCTTTAAAAGAAAAGCATAAAACAAAATACAAAACGAATATATCCGTGTGATGAGAGTGTTTATCTAGATGAGTGACAATGCACACTTGAGAGACAAAATACAAAACGAATATATCCGTGAAAGGGTAGGTGTAGTTCTAGTGGCATACATAATTAGAAAGAGTTGTCTTAGAAGTTTTGGTCAACTTAAACATCGAACATCTGATGATCCTGTGAGCAGAGTAGATGTTTTATATTCAACTTATGTTAAGAAAGGCTGAAGTAGACCTAAAAAGACTTGACCATATTGTATAAAAGATGATCTCAATCTAATAGAATTAAATGAAAATATGACAATCAAAAAGACAACCGAAAAAATGATCATGTAGCCAACCCCACTTAGTGGGATAAAGCTTTCTTGTTGTTGTTGTTGTGTATATATCAATTTATTGTATGACCTATAAATTTATTAAGATTTCATTTATCCGTCAGTAGGTAGAGGTAAAGTGTTTTATAAAAAAAGAATGTATGATATAAGAAAATGAATTAATGTATGCATGAATGCTTATATGTGCATGCTAAGAGTTCACCCCCTTATAGTACAGAGAAAGGACGCTAGTGTACATATGAGCATAAATGTTATCTTACCACCCTAAATAATTGTGATATTTAAATAGTTAACTGTTGTGCCGTCGAAAGAATATCAACCAAGGGCGAGTAAGAACTTTTTCACCTTAAACAATTGCATAGATTTGATTGAATAGTTAACCACTGTGCAGATAAGATAACATTAGTTAGGAGTGTATTCAGTTATGTTTTGATGATGCTCCTAAGACAAATGTGAATGTTAATAACATGAACTAAAAAGTAAAGTTAAAAACTAAACTTTAAAGAGTACAATTACAGTTAATATATATCAAAGATTAAGTTATTTCCATAGAATCAATGTCATGAACACATACATTACATTATTATATAATCCTAAATAGAGAAATATGAAAGATCAGCATATATATTGCTTTCTTTTTTAACTATAGTTTAGAATGGTAATTGTTCCACTATTATTTTAGATAACTCATTATATTTTTTTAATAATTTTTTAAGTTTTTAAATAAGATAAATACTAGTGGACTTAATAATATACAGAGAAGGCGCAAAAACAACCAAAAAGGTAAATTTTTTACTTGATATTTAAATCATTTTTTTAATGATTTTTTCATGAATATGTGAATGTTAAACTGTTAGTATATACATAGAATAATATAAAATGTAATTTCACCGTCAGAATGTCTATTCCAACCCTTTATTAATTCCAAGTCTTGAGCCAAATCTTGACAAAAGTAGTATCAAAAGAGGATTAGACTAAAAAATAAAAACCGTAATGCAAGAGCCATTAGGAAAATTTAATTAAGCTATAAATAATAGAAACTAAAATTTTAATTAATTCTAATTAAATTAAGTTGTCTGAAAAATATAAAAAATTAGGAGTAATAAGTCAAGGATGATGTGATAAAAACTGATATGCCCTCATTTAGTACAACCACCACTGATGTATTTTCTGATATGATGATTGTAGTAACTCAGTTAATTAAAAATGCTTAGTCTCAAGTAACACAATAATAGTAACACTGGAGGAGCACCGACAAATAAATACTTGAAGCACTTTTAGGATATCAAATCACATTTGTTTTCTAGAGCAAAAGGGCCAATGGAAGCTGAAACCTAGCATATGAGGGCAGAGAAAATCATACATGGTATGACATGTCCACCAAAGAAGAGTCACCATTACAACATTTACCTTCGAGGAAGAAGCTGAAAAATAGTGGCAAGTTCTGGAACAAGAGAAATTTGGTGGTCGACTTAACCTCTTTGTACAGTGGGATGAGTTTGTCTTCAAAGATTGGTTCGTATCATTGTCAGTGAGAAAACAGATGCAAAACAATTTATCAGGTTGGTGCAGAGAGATCGATCGGTTATGCACTACGAAGCGAAGTTTACTATGATATCGAGATAAACACCACAACTTGTTCTAAATGCAGAGAAGAAATGTCATAGGTTTCTTTCAGGATTAAAGAATTCAATCAGGTAGCAGCTAGTGCTACTTGAGATTAAAAACTATTGTGCTATTGGAGAGGGCTAGGCAGGTTGAAATTAATTTCCAACAGACTCAAAAGCGTACGAATTTGCACAAGAGGAGGAGCTTGAAAGAATTGGCAGCAATAATTCATTCTGGAAAGTCTAATGAAGTTATTAGTTGAACTAACAGTGACAACATAAAGCCCCGTGTTTAAGTGTGGGAAGCAACATCATGATGAATATTAGTTTGAAGATGTGTTACTTATGCAGACAACCTGAACATCAAATGAGGAACTCCCCTAATTTAGCTCAGAGATCCACAACAAATGCTAACCCAAAAAGAGATTCAAGTCAGAGAAATTTTCACAAGATATCTATTTTTAGAAGTGGTCAACAGAGGATGATAGAAACAGGTATCGTAACTCATAATGAGCAACTAAAACAAAACATTCAACCAAGAGTCTATGCCCTAACTCAACACAAACCTGAGAACATGCACTACTGATGTGGATGCTAGAAGAGTTTGATGAGTGTTATGTTTTATGGCATTTAAGTGTTGTTCTAGTTATCATGTTTCCTATTTATGGGAATTGTTCGGTTGAATTATATTATCTCAGATGTTGGATGTATCATATTTGTTTTTCACACCACAAGAATAAGATATTCTTGAAGGTTTTTGGATAGAACCTGCTTACTCTGCATAATTTTTAGCTCGTGAGAATTACATAAACTTCGATGGGAAAATTTTATGAGAGAAGATTGATTGTAATACCCAACTCTAAATGTTAAAAAGAAAATGAATGAATTAAATTTTATGTTGTTAGAAGAAGACGTGCCTCTCGGGAATTCAAAATGAAGATTCTTAGTCTCGTGTCATTTAAACAAGATGACGAGGAGTGATAGAGACAACAAGAACAAGAGGGAGACTGAGAGACAGAGGAAGAAGAAGAAAGTAGAAAAGCTTTTGTGTGAGGACAGAAAGTTCAAATTGGCTTCAACAAATGGTTGAAGTAGAAGTAGCCATTAGTGCACATGACAGACTTCATATGTGCGAAGGAGACACATGAGTAGCATCGGGGAAGGAATTTTGGCCAAGCGGGTGCAATGTGAAGAGGGAAGGGAAGGAGATGCTCGCGTGCCAAGAAAAGAAGAATAACCATGCCCTGGCCAAGCAAGGAAGAGGAAGAATTAAAGTATTAAAGTCTAAGAGTGTCCTATGAGAAGAAGAAGACTCCGTGAAACCTCAATGTGAGAACAGTAGAGTGGCTCTTGTGCGATTGAGAAGAAGAAGTGAACGTGTGTGTGTGTGTCCTCTGTGCACGAAGAAAAGGATGATTTTTTATCGAAGTGAGCCGCATTCAAGTTAAGGGAGAATCGAGCCAAATTGTGAATTAAGGTAAGATTAGGACTAGTTTTAAATTCGAGAAAGAAATGATCTTAATTGTTTATTAAGAAAATTCTTCAATTATAAAATATTATGTAGAAATTATAGATAGAAGAATAGAGGCTGAAACAAGTTTGAGTTGTAAGAGGGAAAAAAGGAGCTTTGTGTGACAGGAAGCAAACCAAGTTTTTTAAGGTATGGATAGACTTATTTTGATCAATGAAATTTAATATATATATATATTTGAAATCAAAAAGTACTTGAATAAAAGAATCTTCATTAAGGAGATCTAGGCGTGAATCACTGTACAAAAAAATATATGAGTTAATTAAAGTTACATGTTAGTTTATTAAATTTAGAATTAATATTTATTAAAAAAATATTAAATAATAACAACGTTTAGGACCGAAGAACAGTTACTCCAAAAACATTTAGAGTTAGAGATCGTGAAAAGTTGCATCAAAGGTAAATGACTCGAGGTGAGTGATTATATTTTTAAATTATAATAATATTTCTCACGTTTAAATAAATTTTTGCTAACAATTTTTCAATTTTTTGTAGTATATGAATGAAATTAAATCATAAATAATTCTTCATATCATTAGTCATGAAGTATGTATGTTAAATACTCCTGTCTTAATAGTTGTATAATAGTTTATTTTAGAAAGATATCAGATTATTGCATCACTGCTATATTCTAACAAAGATGTATATGTTAGCTTATTATCACCCCATATATATATATATATTTATATTAAAGAGAAGGGTACAGATAGGTTGTATGAGTGGACCCAAATAGACACCCAACCCATACAGTACAAGACACACAAAAAGAAAAAGAAAAAAATTAAAAACCCAAAAGTAGATGGTAGATAAAAGATCAACCAAGTCAACCCAATTTAGTTTTGTCTCTACCTCTAGTTCTCGGAAATGAACCAGCTAACAGATTGGTGAGGTGTGTATCATTGCCCGAAGCAACCAGAATATCATCCATTAGATTCCTTAGCTCAAGTAGATCTCCATTCTTCTTCTTCCTCCTGGAAGTGTACACCTATCATTCCTCATCCGAAGATTGTTGCTCATTCAGATGAGGTGGTAGTGTTGCAGTAGAAAGATTGCCAACAGTTGTGCTAACAAGTGTGTGAGGTAAGACTTGTCACCTCTACCCCTGATACTTCCTGAAGGTGGGGAGCTGCAAAGTTCTCCTGATTATCAGTCGGCGTAGGTAGGAGTTCATTATTGTTTTCAATAGGGTTTGAAAGTGTAGGTTGCTCAGCAGGGACATCCAGCTTCTCATCGATCGCAGAAACAGTGTTTTCAGGGGGAGGGTCCACTGGGGCAATAGAATCAGACACCAAATCTTGTAATGTGATAGTTCTCTCCAGATAAAACAGATATATCCTTAGATCCATCCTTATTCACTTGATCTTTAGATTTCAAATTAGGATGAAACTTATGACATTTATCAAGTGTATGCCCAAACATCTTACAATGAGAACAGTAAGGCGGTCTATCCTCCATGAACGATTTGTTGCCAATATCCATTATGAGTTGTGCCCAACTAGACTTCAGTAACACATCAAGCAAAGTAATCTCTTTCCACAAGTATTCTGGTCACAAAAGGTCTGGTAAGATTGAAATTGGGTAGATCTAGCTTCATAGAATCCCCAAGTATGACACCAATAGAGTAAATAACCTAATGATGAAAAAAGTGCAGCTAGAGACCAAGTAGACTAAACCATACTAGTACAGTTGGAGGTTCATGATTGGGTCAAAATCATGAGACTTGAGTAGCTTCATAATTTTACCAGCGATGTTAAGATATTTTCTGGAGAAAATTTGGGTGTAGTCTTCAGGCATGGTTAACTGAATCAATATGTCTCTCATCCATGGGCTTCATTTTCCACTTTCCTGTTAATTTGAAGTCATCAAAACTTTTCCTGATAATTTTCATAGGTGGGTGTCCCCACTGAAATTTCCCAATAAGAACAAATTTGAATTTGTCAGTCAGCGTTGAAATTTCTGACGTGGAGAAAAAAAGTGATGTCTTTCTACTTTTTCTTCTTGCATTCTTAATAAAGGGGCAGTTACTTGTACCATCACGATGCTTCTTATAACTTGAAGAGAAGACAAACATCGTCTCCACCTGAGAATTATCCACCACGTGGGCAAATAAGGTTTTACCAAGTTCAACCAAAGAAGAATGAAGCTCCATCACAACAAAGAGAAGCCCTGCAAGTCAGGCAGAGGGCAAAAAAACGAGCCGAAGAGTTCGGGGCGAAGCTGCGCAGAAGACAGGAACCGCAGATGAAATACGCAGAAAAGAGGGAAAAGAAGACGAAATCGCAGCTCGGCTGACACGAAACCGCAGCTCGATCGACGCAAAAAAAAAACCCGCAGAAGCAAGAGCAGATCGTCATCGTCGTCATTTATATCACCATATATATATATATATATATATATATATATATATATCGATCGATATTACATAATTGCTTTACCTTTAGAATTTTAGTAAATTTGCATATATAAGTTTATTGCGAGACCTATAAAGTTAGGAAGATTACATTTATTCATCTGTAGAAAAAGGTAAAATGTTTCATAAGAAAAAGAAATATACATTGAATGAAAGAATGAAGTAGTGCATAAATAAATGATTGTATGTGCATGGTAAGAGAAGTTCACTCCCTTTATGGTACCGATAGGGTACGCCAGTTTACCTGCACGCGTAGATATTATACCACAACACTAGACAGTTATGATGTTTAGAACACTAATCGCTGTGTCGACGAAAGAATATCGTCCAGGGGTGAATAAACACCTTTCCACCTCAAATATTTGTGTAAATTTGATCAGAAACCGCTGCGTTAATGGAATAATATTACTCAGGGATATGCTAGGTTATGTTTTGTTGGTGCGCCTAAGATAAATGTGAATGTTAATAACATGAAATAAAAGTACAACTAAAATTAATGCATATCGAAATTAAAGTTATTTTCATTGAATAAATGTTATGAAAACATGTATTAGATTATTATGAGATCTATAAAGTGAATTAGGGAAGACTAATATGCATATTACTTTCTTTCCCTTGTATTATTTTAAATAACTCATTATGTTATTTTAATATACTCTCGGGTTTAAATTTTTAAATAAAATGAATACTATATGAGCTAATATGTACAAAAGGCGAGAACAGCAACCGAAAGGTAAAACCTTACTTGCTAATTAAATTCTTTTTTTAGTGACTCTTTCATGAATATTTAACTATTAAATTGTTGCTCATTGAAATGGAATAATAGAAAATTTAATTCCACCCCTTGGTTTATTTCAAGCGTCAAGCCTGGACGTGACAAAAAATTGTTGTTTTCTGCCTCTAATTCACTGTGCAACCGTCGTTCCTGCCGGATTTTAGCCAAAATCATTCCTCCTACTTTTCTTACCTGTTCTACAACTTATAAACCCCTTTCTTGTGTTCTCTCACACCTTCTAGGGGCCCAAGAATAGTGTCACAAATGGTACAAGTAGTTCCCCCATAAATAGTCATTCATATATATAACTTTGAAGAATACATATCCTAAAAGCAGCATAAGAAGAGAGAAAAAATAAAATTGTATTTCAATATTCAATGCTCATATCAAAGGACCAAAGATAAGGCTACACAAAACCTTCAAGATCAGGGCAAAAACATGTTTTTAATATATCCAGTATGAATTCCAGCAATTGAACTTTCTTCCTCAAACTAAAAAGAGAAAAAAAAATCTGAAAATAGTAAGCAGCTGAAGGTAATGGCCACCTAAAAAGGGGAAATTACATACAGACCGCCGAGAACTTGCTATTTACAAATCAAACACCTTCTTTCATCCATTTTTCAATTTTTCACTCAAATATCAAAATTCATGGTAAAACCCCATCCCGTATATTTCATTTTTATCAATTTCTCAATATTTTGATCGTGGCATGCAAAAATACATCCGTTCGGTAGTTAAAAAAAAAATCACTTGGGTGGTTTATTCGTAAATATTAATGTTTCGGGGTGGCCTGTATGCAATTATCCCTAATAATAAACAGGGAAGGCAGTGAAACAGTAGCAATCGACAGAAATAGGAAAGCGGTGCAGAAAACTAGCAAAAAAGGCAAAATAATAATCTAGCGAGGGAAAAAAAAAACTAGTAACCCGGCCAGAACAGGTGGTGACCACAACACCAATAGAGAAAAAGTAGGAACAAAAAGTAGAAACGTGTGAGCCGAAGTGACATTATGTAACTCTGTCAATGCATAATGGCAAGTGGAATGAAGAGTAGTTAGCAATTCACACTGATAGTAATTCTAAACTCCATAGGTGCTGATTGGAATTCAAGGTATTGAGTAAATACCATGCATAAACAAGTTGCCTAACAGACCATCAAACAAAAAAATAAATAAATAAACATAAACCTTTCATATTGAAGCTAACATTGTGGCATGTTTTTGCACTTCAAATAAACTAGGAAACAAAAATAAAGAATCAATGCACATGAATTGGATTCGCAATAAATACAAAACTTCTAATTTGCATTAAAATACATATCACCTTGTAGTATCCCTTCATGATTTGTGGCCCTCTTACTTTGACAATGCCTTTAGAACCATCCGGAAGAGATCTACCAGTTGTCAAATCTACGATCATGATTTCAGTAAAGTTAAGTGGATGCCCAACGGTTCCAAGGACCTTCAAAACCCAAAAAGAGAAATGTTAAGCAAAAAATGTTCTTTTAGGCAAAAATGCCAGAGAAACAATAAATGCTGAGAAAGTATATAGAACTCAAGGTATTACAAGGATGAAATGTATTAAAACTATGCCTCAAATTGTTCAGTATCGGAAACATCAGCTCAAAAAAATAATCAAGAAACAAAATGACTGCCTCTTGGCATTTAAACCATTTTTGTTTTTTTGTTGAGGCTTCAATAACATAATAACTTTAAATTTAGTAAAAAATTTCATCAAAAGAAAAAAAAAACCTAGATCATTGTTGCCAAAATAATTCTTTTACTTCTAGAAATCAAGAATGAATTTGTATAATCATTGTTAACCATTTTTTGCCTAGATATATCTAATACTATGTTAACCTAGAAATGTTGCATAAGCGATTCATTAAAAAATCTCAATTTCTCTAGCCTTTCCATAAATTAGAAAATATGTCATTTTGACTTGACTAGAAACTTATAATGACGATTTATATATATTTTCCACAAGCACTTAATGATGTAAGGCATAACCTCAATGGCATCTCTATTTTTTCATTTCTAAGCTCTCCTTTGTTTTCTTTTGTAAATAGATCCTTCCTACCAATGATAGTTTTTTTAGCCTTCGGAATGGTAAGTGCACCTTTTTATAGTGGCTTTCAAGAAAGTGTGCCTTTTGCATTAATAAAATAAAAATATTACAAAAATATGCATCTAAGCATATACAATATGGTCTAAGTCATCAATAAGCAAACTCAAAAGTGAGTGATCACAATCTGATGATTTTCAAACAACAGAGTTGAACAAATCATACATGGCATAGAAATGAACTGTTGTCTTGTTCCCTATCACGACCCGACCTGGTGCTTGAAAATAACCAAGGTGGAAAGAGACTGTCTGATAGTGGTAATTAAAACTTTTCTATATTCATTTAATAAAAACATTTAACAAGTGAAAGAGCCACTAAAAAATTAAAGCAATATAATTAAATTTTACCTCATTTCTGATTATCTCCGTCGTCTATGAATATTTTCTCAGATATCGCTTATCTTTTAATAAATTAATTAAACCTAAAAAATTAGTTAAAACAACAGCAAGCTAAACAAAACTAATGAATAATTATTGATAAATTTTAGTAATTCAATGAAAAATGAGACAATATGCATGCCAATTAAACTGAATAAAAATATAAGAGCATTTGGTGGTTTGTACTATCTAACATGATCATTCAAGGTGATTTTAAACATTCACTATGTGTCTTGCTATATCGTTTATATATCAATATCCTTTTTAATATGTATACAATCATCACAGGAGCACCGTCTAAAAATTGGATCATTTAAGGTTTTTCAATCTCAATATTTTTTTCATTTATGTGCACAGGTATCTTAGCGTTCCCCCGCTAGTACCATAAAGGGATACTCCATTATAGTCAACATGCACATGTAAGCAAGCAGAATAGTAAATCTCATTCTTATTTTCTTTTCATACAATTCAATAACCTAAACCGTGCATTTAAATAGCATACAAATATCATCGACATTCCCTCAATATGATCAAAATGAAGTGAAGAGCGAGGACAATCTATCTAAGAATGTTATAGAGCAAATCACACTTAGGAGAACATATTAATACAATTAAAAATTATAGGTACTCACATTGCTTTACGACGATTTTTGTTTGTTTTTAATTTTTGAGATCACTTTTACAATAGAATGCCTATCACCAATTATAAAGTATTATTTAATTAAGTTATCACATTAATTTTATATCCTAATTTGACATAAATTTATGATTTAATTAAAGAATTATAATTTATCTTATTATAAAATTGACAGTTATGTATTTCAAAGTAAAGCAACTCTTAATTGGAGTTGTACCTCAATCAATTCCTCGAATCTACTGATTCGCTTACACTTCTCCCATAGGTGCATAAACAAACACAAAGTCTTCCTTGCTAATCTTCCCAACCAAAATTAACATAATTTAATATTAGCATTATCTTAGAATTAAATATTTATTCAATATAAATTAGATGTATAATTGAAATTTACCTCAATTCCCTTTATTGCAAAGTGAACAATTCCTTTAACCAATCATTTATTGTTCTCAATTCTTCCATTCTGCTTTTACAATTTTGATTTTAAAAACAAAATTCATATTAACTCTTTAAATGAAATTCAATTAACATAATTAAAAATCTAAATATCCTTAAACCCTAACTTCTCATTTTAAATGCTTGGTTCGGCTTCTCCTTCGCACGTTGGCATTTCCTCTCTTCTTTCCTCTGCTTGATGTTTTTCTTCTTCTTTCTTGTTCGGTTCGATTAACGCACACAGAGCTGCTCCCTAATTCTTCCTCCGCTCACGAGAGCACGAACAAAGCCTGGTTTTGACTTCCCCACATTGTCGCCCATGTTGCTCGATGACGGCTCATTCTTCTATCTCGCATGCTCGGCTTTGCTCCTAATCTTGACTTTTCGAACACGCAAGCTAGGGCTGGAAGCAACACCCCCTTTCTTCATCCTCCTATGCCTCAAGTCGCGAGCATGACGATATCGCCTCGAGAACTAGAGTTCAGTCTGACCCATACAAACATGCATACATTCATAAACATTTCTTATATTGCATGTATGAATCAAAACAATTGAATCCCTGTAGACAATTAATATCATAAGAACAGTCATATATATCATAGCATGATCATAGCATAACAATATCACATGTATTGTAGGAAAAATTCAGCTTGCATTCATATATTCAATGAAGGTATTAATCCACAATATGCAAAAATCGGTGTCAGACAAGAAATCACATGAGAACCTATAGAATATTATTTTTTTTATGTTCGCAGAATATTATTTCACCTGACTAAACGATGTAGTCCTACAACGAGTTTCTTCACGCTCGCCTCAAGATCACCGCTCGTAAAAAAAACCTAAAATTCATAATCATCATAGGATTTCATGAAACTCCAACTCAAATCGTGATTTAACCGAAAACATGACTCATTTGTCAAAATATACCTCAAACGGACTTCTCGACATAACCCAACATTTCTTTGATTCGCCTAAATTTATCTCCTCTTTCTTAGCACCACGGTCCTCCCTCCCTTCACTGATTTTGAGCTAAAACACTTATAGAAGCCCGCAAACCAAGTTTGACGCTTCCGACACAGGTTCTACGCATGCTACGGCGAGCAAAAATGAAGAAGTGCACAATATTATGGCAAACGTAAGAAAAAATGTGATGAAGAAAATGAAGAAGTGCACAAAATCGAGGCAAACGTCAGAATGCCAAAACAACTCAAATAACATGAAAGATTGATTTGTATCTTCTGATACCTCTCTGGAGCCTCGAATCACACTCTATAACACTTGGCGGTTCGCTACAGTCGCGTGACTACAGTGTTGCGATCGCTAGAGCTTTAGGTATGGGAAACCGAGTATAAAAAGGGGGATATGGGAGGAAAAAACGACAATTTATCTCGCCCCTCCTTTTCGCACAGTGGAATAATCAAATTAGACCGACGCAAGCTCAAATAAATGCGGTAAGTTCGGCTGGTTATAGTAGAAGTGGGATTATGGAGAAGATTAGTATTAATTAAGAGTTGAATTAGGTTAATAAACATATAACATCAGAATTTCATATCTCCCAATCCAAACAAATTATATATAGTGTTTCATTTCAAATTGATCGATTTCATGCATAAAATTTTATAAAAACTAATTCAGTGAAATTTGGGATACTTTTAAATTTGTTGAATTTTATCTGATTCATAAATTTTTGGGAGTTACAATTTATCTCCTTGGTGGCATGGCTCGAGTTTAGAGTTAGGAGGAGAAAGAGGGTGTAAAAATTGATTTTGGGTTGTTGATTTTAAAAATCAGCAAGAAGTTAAGGTTAGGTTAAAGTTTGGCTATGATTTTGAGGAATAGAAAATAATTTTTTTTTGGTGAGGGTAAGGAGGGTGCTAGGAAACTCTAGGATAAGAGTAAAGTTAAGCTCTCTGATACCAATTGATACCGGAGTTAACCCAAACCACAGTAGAAATGCAAATATTATTGTTGATATTCAATAGTGTTATAAACAAAGACATTTGACAATAGGAAAATTACAACATAAACATAAAAGAGAACTTTGGGCGAGAACAAAGAATGGTGGGCTAGTGTCGAGGTAGTGGGATTGGGGTTTGTAGTTGCGGGAGAAGGGTTGGAAATTGGATGTTGCGAGTTGAGAGATGTTGAACAAGTAGACGGCAGCAACAGAGGGATGTCTGAGGAGAGGCGACAACAATGGAAGGAGCAAGAGGTGGGTGGTTGTGAATAGTAAGGGCAGCGTGGTTGGAAGATGACAGCAACCTAGAAGTGTAGGAGGGCAGTGACAAAACTGTAGGAGTAGCGTAGGAAGAGGGATGACAGAGGAGAAATTGTAGAAAACGGTCTGAAAGGGCTGTCTAGCTGCTGCAACGGGGAGGGAGGATGGCAAAAATGGTGGAAGCTAGGTGACAGGGGGCTGCTAGGTGGCGAGGATGGGTGGCGGAAAGGTGTAGGGGTTGCATGAACAGTACAAGCACTATTCTGGCAATAGCAAAGGGAAGGTTGCGGAGGATGGGAAAGTCAAGGATAAACACCGCTTCAAAGCATGAAACAACCAGAGCACCACTCATCCTCAGATACAGCCCTAAGAAGAAAAAGAGGGGACACTGACGGCTGTCTTGACAGAAAATTTAGCTAAAACTAAACCCTAAAATAGAAAAAAAAAGACATTCATAATTGGGGATAAGTAGAAAGGGAAAATCTCTCCCTTTGGGCAGCAACCCGAACCCAAGTAGGGTTCAGCCAACCCCCTTAAGTCCCTCCTAAACCGGTTTAGCCGGTTAAGCTCTCCAGCCCCAGCATCAGTAATATAGTTGAGCTATTTGGTCAAACCACTCAATCAGAGAGATTTTGTCATAACAATATTTGTGAAGCCATATGACGAAACA